TCATCACATGCTTCTCTACATTCATCAACTCGAATCCGACATTGAAGCAAAAAACAGACGTATCGATCTATTAGAATTATCTCTAAATAATCGAAGAAAACGAAGAGGAGGAGCCATGGGAGATCCTGCCAATACCAACGCGGACAAGGATGATCTGAATGAACAAACCGAACAATTGACCATTCAAAGAAATTTAGTAAAAGCATTCATGAAGAGAAGAAATAATAGAAGAAATGAAAACATGCATTCCAAACGAGAGGATACTTCAACTCATTCCCCAAATTCGTCGTCGAATATTTCTAGTACTACTTTTGCACGAAAGAATCATCGTTCAGTCATGAGGAAAAAGGAATAGATATCATGACTCTTGATCCACAAGGATTTTGCGACCATTGTTGGAATGTTGTCATGTTCATTGTATATTGGAATTAATGATCTCGATTTGTGTTCACAAATTAATGACCTTTTGAGCCCGTCATTTTGTATGATATTGTTTAGTACATGTATAATAAACGTTACGTATAAAGCTCGAAACAATTTGTGAGATGTGTTGCTATTTGTTTCTGCAATAACACCTACCAGAACGACGCCTACGGTTCAATCCAAAAGCCCTAACGTTTATTGAAGTGTTATTACGAGCAAGGAGTTTTTTTAACCTTAACATATAAATGTGAGTCCAGATCAAGAGAATTTCCATGGTCATCATATTTATAGTGTCTTGTTTATGTATTGGATGATGATCAAGTGGCTGAATTATATTGACAGAGATATAAATGAAGCAAGAATTATTGTTATTCGATCCTTCCTACTCTTTGAATTAGTTTTTGAGCACTTTGTGTGTGTTTAGGTCTTTCCCCTTAGGGTGTTAAATACATGCAAGATCAGCACCACTTGGTTCGATTTGTTCATTTTGTTCACAGTGCTGATTTGAATAAAGGGGAAGTTTCATATTCAGAAAAGTATTTTTTCACTTGATGTCTCGTTTAATCTCAATACACATCATGATATCTCCATTGAGACATGATCACAATGTGATTGCCTTGAACTTGATTTGCACACGATTCGAATTAACATGTGAAATTAATATCTGCAAATGACTTGTCCTCAAAACAATTTGTGAGATGTTGTGCTAATTGTTTCTGCAATGTCTTAATAGAACGTACAGCTCGTTGTTGAATATAGCCAATATATGAAAATGATGGTTGATCACTTCCTGTCATTCCTATTCGTTGTTGTTGAGATGAAATTCCTTTCAAGAATTCTTTTTTCATTTGAGCAGCTTCAGAAATATTCAACGCGTCTCTTGAAACTTTTAACATGAGTAAATCAGAATTGGAGTTGGTAAGAGAAATTAGAAATGAGTGACTACCAGCTCCAATCGATGTTACAGTGTTGAATAATGTGCCACTGTGTAGATAGGGAAGAGTAATTTTAGAGAGTGACCTATTGGATCCTCCTGTAGCAAGTTAATTTCCAGCGTACCGTGGATGGATGGTTTAAATTATCATGAAAACCATGTCCATGAATCATGAATATTCAATGGATATAGTTTTCAGGTACCTTGTGTCTTTAAGACTTACCTGAAACATATACTGAACCATTTCTTGTCAAAAATATCACTCCATAATAATGACAATCAACATCAATGGCTGGATCTGAATGTGTAATTTTCGCAAACTCTACACTTTCTGTAATTTGTTTTTGATTGCCCGTGTTCTTCATTCCTAATTCATCTGAAGAGTTGTATCCACATACGAAAATACGTCCACATTGAGTGAGAGCAACAATGTTGTGATCTCCACAAGCAACTTTGCAAAACTTCACGTTTGGATGTTTTTCACAGAATGGATGAGGAGCTGTTGGGACAGTGCTGTATCCATCATATCCACATTCTCCAAATCCGTTGGATCCTGTGTGAATTGAAACACATCCATCGAATTACAATTTTTCAATAATGATAATCATGGTGTGTAAAGGATTTTTAACATTGAAGCCTACCTCCAACAATTAGTCTTCCTTGATTGGTGACCAATACCAATGTATAAGCACCACATGCCATATACGTGATGAATTCATCCTGCCTAAGAGCCTCATCAATGCCTTTCAACCAAAGCTTTGTATTCGATGGGTTCAATATAACAAACTCACTGTTTGATGGATCCATGTCGCATGTTACAGAAGCCACTACAGATGATCTTTTTGGAATTTCATAACATTCTCCATTGGGTAGCTCATGATTGACGTATCCCTCTCGAAACTTTGTTCCAACATTAATAATATCGAACAATGCTAATTTTGAGACTCTAAAATAAGGAAATACTCACATCAGGTGAAATAATTCCGTCCACAATCCGATCTACTAAAACATAACAACAATTATACGAAGCTGCAACAAAATAGGCTCGTTTCCACCCAATCCATTGTCCATCATTATTCTTTTCTAAGGGATCCAACAGTAGACTTGCTTGGAGGCTACCTGGTTGATGGTGTTGATGATACAATTGTTGATAATAATAAATTTGATGATCGGGATAGGTAATGGCATAGATATATTCTCGTCTTGCATAGATTTTTACAAATCCAGATAGTGTCGGATTTTGTTTTTTAATGAGCTCGAGGAACTGATGCGTTTTTTCAGATGATGTTGCGATGAGATGGGATTGAGCAAAATCTGAATTCAACATTTTTTTTTGTAAATTTTACAGAAAAGTTCAATAATTTAATAATAATGATCAAATTCAATAATTTAATAATAATGATCAAATTCAATAATTTAATAATAATCAGTTCAATAATTTAACAATATTTACATGGCCACTCTTCCACTGTAAGATCCAGCTTGAGTCACATAACGAACCCATCTCTTTTGTTTTGGTTTCTTGTCATCATTCAAAGAATCAGATCCAATTTTCAAATATCTCAATTGAAGACCACTCATGTTGTGCATGGGAATTTCAAATTTCATAGTGACAGGTCCAATCAGTTTCCTTTCATCAATTTTACATGGTTCAGATATATTAATCTTCAATCTGATTAATTGTTCAGTGGCGCCTTGGAATTTCTTGAGTCCCCAAACGACTACCTTGTCTTTCTCCTTATATTCATAGGTTTGTTGAGAGTCCTTGTCATTACCAACGCTAATACCGCAACTGACAGTATTCTTTGGAACTGGAATACGAATGAAAACACCAGTGGCAGATGTTGAATTTGGAAAATCGGATCGAACTCGAATGGCTGCTTCAATTTTGTAATCTCCAGTTTTGGTGACACTAGGTGTGATACGGAATGGCATGACAACATTAAAATTATTGGTAACACGGTAAGAGAGGAGTGTCAATTCACCATCTTGTGGATAGAATGACAATTGGCGTCCATGTTCAAATTCGTCTCGATTAATAATTTCATTGAAATTGATGGCATCGACTCGAATGGCAGAATAAGTGCTATTCTCAACACCAATGGCTAAATCTTGATTGAGAGCAATTCTAATGAGAGGAGTTCCCATCAAGTAACTTTTCACAACCAGAGATCCAATAATTTCAGAACGAAGTAATTCACCATTACTATTCATTTCACAATTCACACGTTCTAAAACGTCAACAAAAATTTGATCATTCTTTTTCGTGATTGGAAGACAGGCTAAACGAGTCATGGTGTTACCAACATTTGCATTTTCAACATGTGTCAAACATTATATCATGATTTTGACCAAAACTTACTTGCAGTAGATTTCACAGTCTTTGGATCCGTAAATGCAATATTCAACAAACCATTCGTAGTTGGTACGTCCACTGTCTCTATAGGTTCATTATACACACAATAAGTCAAAATATTTGTTTGAGTGGTTTGAACCTTTCCCCAATCAAATAATTCATCCAACAATTCATAAACCAAAACAAAATTCTTTCTGATTGAATCTTCACTCAATTGACCTGTGAAATCTCGAATTAAAATGCATGCTCGTTCCAATAATTCAAAAATAGTAATTGGTGAAACATTCTCTCTACTCGTACACACAATATAGAGACCAGATTTACGGACATGGAAAAAATTAATTCCTTGTTGGTTGAAAATTGGTTTTCCAAAATTGGATGTGCTTTCGTTCCTCACATTGCGAAAGAATAAATCTTCGACCTCGTCAAAAATGTCGTAACGATCTACGTATGTGAGTATGTTGTGAATGTGTGATGAATGACGGGTACATATTATGTCAATACGGAATGTGAGGAGGTTACATAAAATCGTGAGTGATGATGAGGAGTGTTGTTACCAAGTATTGTTCAAGATTGGTCATGATGAAAATGTTGTTGTTGTCATTTGATTGATGGGTTGTGGTTCACATCACCCATGCATTGAAATTGATAATAGATATTATTCAGTGTATATATGTATATATATTCATCATTGTATTCATTCAGTGTTTCCATGTAAATTCCATGATCATAACATCATCACCCGAATTTAAAAATCCATTCGGATCATTACAAAAAAACATAACATGCCTCTGTACAAGAACACCAACACTTCAACACTACTTACAATTTCTCGCAATAATTTTATCTCCTCTCGATGAAAGAATAAAGAAATGAGTGATCATTTTTTTCTTTTTTTTATTACGTCATCGAAAGCGTCAAGAACAACAAGTGGCCACACTCTCTTCTTGGGAACAAGAGGAAAGATTCAAGTTTTTACGAGCGACAAATAAGTTGTACAATTGAACTATTCTTCCCCTTTACTTTATTAAGCGTAGATATTGGTTTTAATCAATTTCAGGCTTGTGTCCTTCCCTGATGATGTCAAAAGTGTTGTTGTTGACGAAAGATTGAATGTTGACAAAGAGGCCGTTATGGTTTTCAATAACCTGCTTCACTCTTTGGAGTGTCAAGTTGCTAGGTGAGACTAATTCAACTCTACTGATGACGGTGTTTTTGAAACATTCCTTGTAGAACATAATTTGACGTTCTAATTGTATCATTTTTGTCAACAATTTCTCATCGCTACTAAATGACGAAATAGTAGCTTCGAAAATTTCTACAGCTCCCGTTACTTTGTACTTCTTGCGCAACACATTGGAAGACATCATTATCAGTAATCAATAAATTCATCGATTGTGGTGAAAATCTGTTAATGTTAATCATTTTCACTGAACCATGACCCTTCTTGAGGTTTATTTCTCTTTTACTTGACCTCAAAATTTTCTTTCCATCATGAAACTCTCTCGTGCTAAAATGAGAGTCCAAAATTGTCTTAGCGTTAAACTTTGAAACCATCATACTTACGAAAATGAGTATTCATAGGAATGGCGAGAAATAGGACTCAAAAGGGCAAAATCACGCATCGATACCTGGATATGAATCACAACATGAGTCAATGTTAGAGCTGACTTGGAAGAGACTTGTTGTTGCTTGTTGTGTTGGAATTTGCATGCCACGCAATTGAAATGCATTGGATGTGTTGATTTTTTATTTGATGATGATATTTCTAACAGCACACACTCCACGTATTTAAGGCTTTTAACATGCTTTTGTAGTAATTAAGCGGTAAGATTGTTCTTCTAGGAATGTAATGAATTGAGGCGGTAAAATGAAAGTAAGGCTTGCGTTCAATGACACAGGTGAAGGGGGTTCGATGACACCGTGATTAAAGGTTGCTAATTGATGAAAAAAGTATCAGAATATGATTTATTTCTTTTTGGATGGAGCCAAGGAGTTGTAAATGGAAGTCTTGATCTTCTTGTTGCTGTGTCTAACAGAGTGGTCAAAAAGGCTTTGTTGTGCTGGTAGACGCAACAGTGGTTACAGCGGTCACAACAGATGAGCCTGTGGTGGTTGTGGACGCAAGGTTGGATGATCTAGAGTTCGAGGATAGGTTATCATGTCGTCTTGGAGTATAAGGTAAGTGTGTGGTAGTGGTTGAGGTTGCATGTTAAGTCGACTTGATGAAAGCAAGGAATTTTTCATAAACGAGTTGAGGAGCTGGTAATTCAAGGCCTCGTCCACATTGTAGAGTCAACTTGCGCGAATCGAATTCAATTAATATTATTCGGGGAAATGTTGATAACGTTGGAATCACCTGCATGTTTCGTCTTGTTGACAGTGGATTTTGTTGAACTTGTTGTGAAATTCCCCCAAGGTCCATCCATTGAATTTGAAACAGTATGTTTGGCAAGTGGGGGATTTTGCAATGCGGGTGGGTTGATCCATGTTTCCTTTCTTCAATAGCAATCACATTATTGTTGTCGATGGAAAGTTGGTTGCGTTTTCCTGCAACCTTTTCAATACGTGATCCTTCATTAACGGTCATTGGGAGAAAGAGGAGTGAAAGTTTTGAAAGAATTGATTGGGAGTAAGGACCTTTGATTATTGGAAGTTGCATTGTTGGTGGTTGTTGGATTGAGAGTTATAAATTCGTCATCTTTTTGGAATTGAAGTTTCACTTGACCTTCGTATAAACAACCAATGTTTGTATTAATAATTCGTAAGTCATCACGAATCTCTTTCATCTCCTTCTCCATTCTCTTTTCAAAGTTTGTCATTCTCATATCCAAGTTTGTGATTCTCGCATCCATTTTTGTCAGTGTTTCATTTAAGCCACGAATTTGTTGAGGCAAGTCGGAAAGAGAAAAATAGAACGAAGCCATTGCCTTATGATCATTGTTGATTAAGGCGTTGTATATTTGATCTACCGACATTTTTTCATCAGCCATATTTTCTTGAGAAACGGCCAATGCTTCAACGTTGGATGGTTGCTGACAGGATGGCGATGTATTTGTTTCCACGTTGTTGGATGATGAAGCAGTAGAGGTTTCAATCTTGTTGTTGGATGATTGTTGAGAGGAAGGCGATGAAGCTGAAGTGATTTCAATCTTGTTGTTGGATGATTGTGGAGTGGGTGTTTTGGTCATCGCTTTTTTTTTTGTTGAGGATGGAATTGGTTGGGCCTCCTTTTTGAGAAGCGTTGATTGATAATGTTTGGACACAAGTTCGTTATACTCTTCAGCCACTGCCTCACGAGTAGCTTGGAGTAGTGTTTGTGCAACTTCAATGTTGTCAGCTTCTGATCTAAATCTCGAAATAGCGCAACATTGGTTTAGACGAGAGTTCTCGTCCAACATTGTCTGCCACAACTTAAAGTGCTTGCTCTTCTCATAGAACCTCTTTAAGCCATCCGCACCTACGCTTAAAGCAAGGGAGACGACTAATGGTGTTGTTTGCATCCCTTTTTTCTTAAGCCCAGCCTCAATAACCGAAGCAGATGAAAGGTTTTCCTTGATAATTTCTTCTTTGAATTCAGAAAAGAGATCATCAAGAAACATCTGTACAGGCGTATCTTTCAATATGGCTTTGAACATGATGTTCTTGAGCTCTTCTTCCAACTTGTTGCTTCTCAGTAGATCGTAGCAAGTTTGGATATCTGGAGATTTATCGAGAAACTCTTTAGCAAATCCCTCCTCATCAGGATGTTGTCCTCGTACCAATCCTTTGACAAATTCAACAAGGACGTTCCGTTTCTCCAAGACCGATGCAACTTGTTGGACAAAGGGAAAACTCTCCACCAACTGAGGCCATGATTTGGATGAGATTTCTTCAGCAGAAGGAATATAAACAGTGTTTTTCAAACCTGCTTGAAATTGTTTCACGGGAGAGCAAGCCAACAACACATCAATCTTCTTAGAGTACTTCTTTTCAGTACCAGCAACGATATCAAGCCTCTTCAAAACAAGAGCCCGAAATGCAGTAGTGGCGTTCATTTTAAAGTATAAAAGCAAGAATAGGAATCAAACACAAAGGAAATGTGAGGATGAATTTTTTTAATTAAAACAAGAACTTGTTTCTGAGGGTCGATGAAAGTCTATCAATTAAATCACCCCTAACTGAAAAAAAAAAATGGTCTTTGCCCAAGAGCTCTGGAGGTTGAATTATTCGTCGAGAGAGAATCCGAATATCAAAAGAGATTCTGTTCTCGGGTCATGATCATCATAATGCAACTATTAAAATAGATCAAGTGGTGTGGATCAAAGATGACACAAATTCATACTTATACCTACAAATCACTGGCATTGGAAATAATACCAAGTACTTGGATGGACTATTGGAGTAGTTGTTGTTGTTTTTGTTGTTCGATAATTCCATCAAGGTTGACCCTTTCTTAATCATCAACTTTCAATTCCAAACAAAAAAAATGTTCACACCTCCAACTCCCTCGTCTGAAAATAATACCGAATCATCATCCGATTCAATTTCAACAACAATTTCAACAAACAATAGGTCTTCTCCCATTCCATTGAATCGATCTCCTTCGAGTAGTTATCCAAGAAATTCTCCTCCTGCCAACTCGGGTCTGTCACGTGTCAATTCACTCATTCAAGAAAAATCTTCTCAAACAAGCAATGAAAATCAATCCACCAACTCGAGTTCTGGAGGAAAACGTAAAAAAACTCTTCTCAAAGCCTCTCCTCTAATTTCTCCATTATTATTACCACAACATTCACAACATGTGTCAAATGTCAATTCAAATCATTTGGAAAATTCTCTTTCTACACATCATCATGGAGCTTCGGTTTTTGGAAATTCACCCATTCTTTCCTCATCCGTTTCTTCTTCATTACAAAATTCTGAAAGTCATGCTGAACATAGCGTCATGTCTGAATTTTCCACATGGGAAGAAGTATATCATCAACAACATGTCATGATGACAGGTGGCAATGACACCAACTCCTCTTCTCCTGTGATTACTTCTTCTTCTCCATCCTTTCCAAATGAAGATTCCAATTTCAATAACGATCAAGATCATCTTTCGAAACGATCCAGTTTTGGAAAATCTCGAAAGCTCACTACTTTTATTTCGAAAATATTTGGATTGAATCTTTCCAACACGGATGGAAAATCAAGTGTCACATCCTCACATTCGAATCGATCGAAAACCAATCGATTATTTAATTCAGGAACTGAATCCGATGAATTTTTTAGAGATTCTGCCATCGACGCTCTCGATCAACATTCGACCACACTTCAAAAATCTTCACAAAATTCCACATCAAATAATAACTCGTCCTCGAACACTTCTCAACAACAACGAGCCAACAATTATCAACTCGATTTAGAATCTCGTCAAAAATCCAATTTCAATCAATGGTTTCAAGACAAGTCACAAACATTCCAAGCTCAACATTTATTTGAAAAGGAAGGAAGTGTGTATTTTTTTAAAAAGGAAATCAAACCAAAAAAGACATCCTCTTTGTCGTATGCTTCTCCATTGAATTCTGGTCAGAATTTGGTGGGAAATAATAGTTCAAGTAGTGGTTCAAATAGTTCACATTATTCGAGTGGTGGTGGAGGTAGTAGTAGTGGAGATTTAAATTTTTCAACCATCATGGAAGAATCGTTTCAACCAAATGACATTTTTGTCGAACGATTCATGTCATGCAAGAATGAAGTGGTGACGATATTTGAAAAATCGACCAAAGACTCTCCTGTGAAACACACCTTTTCATGGAATCAAAACGTCACTTATAGTATCATTCCCACAGAAAGAAGTTTTGATACTGTCATTTTGAAACAACAAAAACGTCAAGTTCGATATTACAAAAATCAATATTATTTGTTTGAAATTCGAGTCGAACAAGGAGATTACTTGTACGTGATGGAACCTTTAATTCTTGTGGGATTGGTTAAAACAAAAGAAGAACGAGACGATTGGACTGATTTGTTTGAAATTTATTCCATTTATTCTTCTCTCAATGTGTTCACAGAAGATGAATTTACATTGGCCTCAACGTTGACACGAGAAGACAAGTTACGTGAGAGACTCATTCAAGAATATGAATTATTTGATGAATATCAGAATGAGGTGCGTGAAGGAGTGAAACTTGGTCCAAACGTATCATCAAATTTGACACAACCAGAGACTGAATATAATCCTCGACTCTCGACCATTGACAATCCCTATGAAGAGAGTAAAGCATTTCAAAAGGAGATGGAAAAGTCGTACTCACATCTGATTCAATCCTTTGAAAAGAATTATTTGAACTCTTTAAGAGTATTATCAAATAATAATATTCAACAAGAAGAACATTAATTGTAAAACAAGAGGATGAGATTGTATTTTAATAAATTATTTGAAACATTTCCAAATAATATTGTAACATCTTGATAATTATCGCCTCTAAAACAAATACTTGGAAAGTCACCATTCCTCAAAGGGTTGATCAAGGACCAACCATTGATAATAGAACAAGGAAACATTGTCGTCAAAATTCAAATCATTGTCCCACATAGAGTAAAATCTAAGCCTTGGTCGAACGGCTAAAATTCTGTTCATCGACAATACCTCCCCATCCAAAAACAACAAATTTGGCCAAATTTTGATATTGCTTAAAACAGTATCCATGATCTCGCCATGCGGATTGGTTGAAACTTTTTTTTGCTTTGTTGTTGAGTAAAATTCGAGATGTGTCACACATGGATAAATATCCACAGCCAATTTTTCAATAATTGCCACAATGATTTCTGGTGAAATTTGTCGACCAACAGTAATGCTCAGCTTTTTAAGGCTGTGATTGGGCTGTAATTGATTTAGCACATTTTGGCTCACAAATTCATCATTAATCTTCATGCGCAAGGAAGTAAGATTTTTAGGCAGAATTGGTGCTAAATGGTTTACCGTATAGCCTACATCTAAATCAGTAAGAGTATCGGAAAAGAGTTGCACTACTTTTTTCTTATCATCCATGCTCACGTCAATATCCAAAAGATCTCCCAAATATTTCAAATGAGGAGCCACAGATCGGAGAGTGGTAACAAATTTGTCAAATTCCTCACTTGTGTTGAAGGAGTATTCCTTGCTTCCAAAATCAATGCATTCAAGTTTGGAAAGAGTTCCACCTCCAAAATGAATATCCTTTTCTAGGGGTACTGGTTGGTCATACGAACCTCGAGTGATATTAAAATATTTCAATTGTGAAAACTCGCCAATTTTTTTAAAAATCTCACCTCGAATGTTACTGCAAGGATGAAACGACACATATTCAAGTTGGGGTAATAGCTTCAAAAATTCATATAAACCCTCGTCTGTGACCTGTAGTTCTGATGAACAGTCATCGTTGCATAAAATTTGGATTTTCTTGAGGTTAGGGCACAATTTTGCAAGCTGGATAATAAACGAGTTATAAATGTCACTATTAACAGTGTAATACAACTCTTCCAAGCGTGGGCAAATTGTTAAAATGTCAAACATAAATTTTCAGCTTCATCGTAGTAATATGGTGCATTCAATGTCAAAGATTTAAGGGTCTCAAATACTGGAATAAATATATGACCCTCTTGCTTATTAAAAAATTCATCTCTTCTTCTCGATGCGGGTGGCTTTCCACGTCGACTTTGAGGCTCTGAAATGCACAAATCTAATTTTTCAATTTCACACATTTTGTCAAGATTCTAAACAGATGCTCTCTTCTGAGTTCCACGTTTTGGAATGATAATTCTTTCAGCCCAAAACCAATAGAACTGATTTTGTTTCAATTTCCTTAAATGAAGTATCATGGTCAGAACTATTCTTCTCCAAATCATTGTTCATTTCCACACCATTGTTTAACAACCTTTGTCGAGTTCTCATGACATGCTTTGCGAATATTCAAAATTTCATAAATCTTGGTGAATTGCAAACGCTACCAAACTCAAATCTTTTCGATAATTCACATAGAGAACCATCACGCTCCGCAATTCATTCACAACTGTCTCACGAGGTTGATGTTTCAGTGTGATGAAAGACGTTGGCACTCTCACGCCGCGTAAGTGCCAACCCGAAATTGATCATCCTCATCCTCATCATCATACTACTACTACTACTGCTACTACTACTACTCTCTCCTGAATCCGAATCATCCTCAATAGAGTTCATCTCCATAGTAGGACCTTGAATAGCATACTTGGAGAATTTTTCCTTAACCACCGAACAAATCCAGCATGAATAACACCATTTGGAACAAAGGCTTATCATGAGTATCTGACCC